TAGGGGGTTTAGGGGGTTTAGGGGGTTTAGGGGGTTTAGGGGGTTTAGGGGGTTTAGGGGGTTTAGGGGGGTTTAGGGGGTTTAGGGGGTTTAGAGGGTTGAGGGGGTTTAGGGGGTTTAGGGGGTTTAGGGTTGAGGTTGAGGGTTTGGGGTTAGGACGCCGGGGTCCAGACTCATCCGCAGGTCGCAACGCTTGCTGCGCGGCCGCCACACGGAACTGCTCCTGTGTGGCCTCCAACAAGCACAAAGCTCCGTGCATTCCCTAAACCCTAAACCCTAAACCCTAAACCCTAAACCCTAGACCCTGTATTCTGTATTCTGTGTCTCCTTAAGTTTTAGGCATTGCTTCGAACCCCTACGTGTTTGACAGTGGCACAGAAGACTTCGCCTGGAGGAAACGGAAGAGGCTCACAGCTTCCGTCGCGGCTCCACTGTTGTGCCATCAGCTCTTCTCGGTCTGCCAAGCTCTTCCAGCATTTCGATCCCTGAGTACTTGCAATATATGTATGTATGTATATATATATATACATGCATGCATGCATGCATACATACATACATACATGCATGCATACATACATACATACATATATATATATATATACATACAGACAGACATACATACATGCATACATTTTTACGAAAATACATGTATGACCGAAAGAATCTTGATGATCTTCTCCAGATGGGTCAGGCCTTGCATCCTTGAGCAGACTGGAAAACATGCGCGCGAAACAGCAGGCCAGGCCTCTTCAGCTGCATGACACACGCTGGGTGGATACGGATCTACTGGAAAAAACTCAGGAGGCTGAAGGTTCAGGGTTTAGGGTTTAGGGTTTAGGGGCTTAGGGGTCGAGGGGTTTACGGGTTTAGGGGTTTATAGAGCTTAAGACGCCGACGGGGGTTGGGGGAAGGGTTGAAGGAGCAGTTTTTGCGGGATCTTGCGGCAGTCTTCTAACGCCCCCTTGGCGAAGAGTATGCTGCAGCTATACAGACTGGATGTTCTGCCCTTGGGTTGACAAGGCCCTTGTGGCCTTGCAGATCTGTACGCATTACCCAAGTCGCATGCTGTACAAAGTTGACCGTTCAAATACTGTGATGGCACTTAGGCACCTAGCATGCTTTAAGATCCGGCTTCATGTACTTCCGCGTCGCAAAGCACATCGCGAGGGTCACTGCGAAGAGGCCAAGCAGGAGTGGGGCAAAGAAGTCCAGGTCCAAGACCGAGCACACGATCGAGCCACCTCCCCGACCCAGGGACATGAAGATCGCGGCGTGTGTCATCACGCTGTTCACCATGTCCGCGGGCACAATCCTTAGGGAAGTGAAGCCTAGATTTGGGGTCATCTACCCCAAGACTACTATGAGTTCCTAGCCATAAACCCCTTTTTAGGGCTCATTTGGGAGTTTACGGACGAAAATAAAGGACCCAAAAACAAACTCCCAAATAGTAGGACTCACTCGAAATAAGGACCCCAAGAGGGTACCCCCCTGAATTTCGGAAACCCCCACTTGGTCCCAACAAGGATCTTCGAGCAGATGCTCATGGCCCAGGCCCTGGCAAGGCCCTGGATGACCAGGACCGACACCAGGCCAATGGTGAGCAACGTTACCTCTTTCACCGTATTGTTTAGGGTTTAGGGTTTAGGGTTTAGGGTTTAGGGTTTAGGGTTTAGGGTTTAGGGTTTAGGGTTTAGGGTTTAGGGTTTAGGGTTTAGGGTTTAGGGTTTAGGGTTTAGAAACGAAAGCCTACTTTTCACACGAACGCTGAGAACTTCTTGAAGGTTCATGGGTACTTCTTAAATGGCAGCTGCATGGAGAAACCCTAGGCACATCTACCCCGCACACATAGATCACGAATAGCCACCCTAGCGAACTTTCAAGAATAAAGCTCCCCTAAACCCCAAACCCTAAACCCCAAACCTCTTGTCTCAGGAAGAGGCGTGCAAAGTGGGCGAGGCCAGGTCAAAGTTGAACAGGAACACGCAGGAGAAGCAGGCGAGAAGCTGTCCGATGAGCAGCCCTGGCACATCGCCGCACACGCGGTTCATCACTTTGCCTCGGCAACCCCCGAAACCCGAAACTTCACTTCCCAAAGAGCGCCCCTCAGACCTTGCAATCAGCAAGACCCTAAACCCTAAACCCTAAACCCTAAACCCTAAACCCTAAACCCTCAGACCTTGCAATCAGCCCAGTCACCAACACTCAGGTTCGTGACCCCAGAGATCAGCATGATCAACCTCAGCCCAGGGTCAAGGTGAGAGTTACCTACAACTTCGAGATGGGTGGTTCTCTAAAGGGGTTTAGGGTCTTGGGTTTAGGGTGTAGAATGTAGGGTTTAGGGTGTAGGGTTTAGGGTTTAGGGTTTAGGGTTTAGGGTTTAGGGTTAGGGTTTAGGGTTTAGGGTTTAGGGTTTAGGGTTTAGGGTTTAGGGTTTAGGGTTTAGGGTTTAGGGTTTAGGGTTTAGGTGTAGGGCTTCGGGGTTCGGGTTTATGGTTTAGGGGGTCCCCTACGTAACACGGCACCCAAAAAAAGATGAGAACTGACCAGATAGTGTTTAGACTTTGGGCATATATAAGAGGTCTTGGGCTTAGACGTGCAAATAACCACAACTGCTGCTGCCCTATCTAAAGCCCTAAACCCTGTCCAAAACCCTTGCTTACACGTCGCCAGGAGCCTCCCGGTACCTACAAAACGGTAACCCTGAACCCTAAACCTTGGCAAAGAAACTGTCAACGCTTCTCAAGAATAGAGAAAGAACCGAGACTTACAATGCTATGATACATGACTAATTTATCCTAGTAGACTACTGCAATAAGATAAGAACAGAACAATGTAAGAATATAACAATAGAATAAATGCACTATAAAAATTCAAAGATGATAAGAAAATGGAATATACGATATAGCATGCTAATGTGAGAACATAATAGCACAATAATCAAAACATATTGGTATGTGAACAGATGTATACTCATGCAACAAAATAGGGAAAAGTTCCAAAACAACACAACATGCAAACACCATTTATATAAGAATACAACAATATAATAACTACAATGTGAAAACTATGTCAACAAACTTAATCAGATACTAAAGTCAGAACGTACTAATACAGCAAGAACATAATCATATACAATCATAGAACCATATTATAATATAGTAATACTATAATGGTACAATATGTGCATGTATATATCTAGAAACAAGCATAGGCGCCCGCATATGAAACCAGTCACTCAGTCACTCAGCCACTCAGACACTCAGCCACTCAGACACTGAGACGTTCAAACACTTAGACACTCACAAGGGTCTAAGTGACAGAGTGACTGGGTCTGGCCTGTGAAGGCGAAGACTTTGAGTGACTTGAGTGGCTAGGTCCGGCCTCTGGACAGTACAAGTCTAAGTCCCAGAGTGACTGGGTGTGCTCTTAGCGGCTGAGTGACTGAGCGCGACTGGTTTCAAAGACGGGCCGCTGGGCACACTCTCTCAATCGACCCCAACCAAGCCATTGTGGACAGCGTGATGATATGGTGATCTGTCAAAATTATGGTCCCTTTCAGGGCTACTACTAAACGGCGGCCCCGTATATTTAGGGTGTCAAGAGCACCCCAAACTCGAATCAGGACTCCAGGGAACGCCACGAACCAGGCCGCTCTGGCAGTGGACCAGCCCAGCGTTTGCCGGGCCACGTTGATGGTGAAGATCTGTCAGCTTGGGCAGGGTTTAGGGTTTAAAGGTTCAGGGTTCAGGGTTCAGTTTTTAGTGTTTAGGGTTTAGAGTCTAGGGTTTAGGGTTTAGGGCTTAGGGTTTAGGGTTTAGGGTCTAGGGTTTCGGGTTTCGGGTTTCGGGTTTAGGGTTTAGGGTTTAGGGTTTAGGGTTAGGGTTTAGGGTTTAGGGTTTAGAGTTTAGGGTTTAGGGTTTAGGGTTTGGGGTTTAGGGTTTAGGGTTTAGGGTTTAGGGTTTAGGGTTTAGGGTTTAGGGTTTAGGGTTTAGGGTTTAGGGTTTAGGGTTTAGGGCTAGCGGTTCGAGACTACCTCCACGCCAGTTGTGATGCCGCTGGTCACGAAGAGCTGCCAGAAGCAGGCACAAGCTGCCGCCACCCTCCCCTGGGTTTGGGGGGCTTATGGTTTGCAGATTAGCTGGAGTTCCCAAACACTAAACCCTAAACCCTAAACCCCAAACGCTAAACCCCAAACCCCACCGTAAACCCGAAACCCTACACCCTGAAGTTGAGTGCCCGAACAACAGCCCAGTCTCCAGGCTGAGCCGAGACTTTCGGCTGCTGGGGCTCTGCAAGGTGCGGCCCTGGGACGGAGTGTGGGCGCTGCGAGGGAGGTCCTTGAAGCAGAGCACCATCTTGGCCTGGGTTTGGGGTTTAGGGTTTAGGGTTTCGGGTTTAGGGTTTAGGGTTTAGGGCTTGGGGCGCTTTAGAATTTAGGGCCTAGGGCCCTATAAACGACAAGCTGTTGTGGGCTCAAATGGGCTTCCATAGGGATGGCTGGCCCATAAGCCTTTAAAACTCATACCCGAATTCCCCCCGTGTTGCGGTGAAGAGGAGGTACACAGCCGCCATGAACCAGCCGGGGACCGTGTCGGAATCCAGGACCAAGTTGTGAACCTTCATGGAGGGGGTTTAGGGTTTAGGGTTTGTATATCGTCTCATAACCCCCTTGAACCGCCCTCTTGGGTTGTTCCGTTACCCTAAACCCTAAACCCCAAACCCCCAACCCTAAACCCTAAACCCCAAACCCTAAACCCTAAACCCCAAACCCTCAACCCTAAACCCTATCCCTTAGGAACCCCATGACCGAGCTGTGAACCTTGATGAACTTCATGGACTCCTCCAACATCGCGGCCAAGGCAGGACCCACTGCACAGCCCAGGGTGAGGCACCTTGTGGCTCTGTTTAGGGTTTAAGGTTTGGGGGTTTAGGGTTTAGGGTTTAGGGTTTAGGGTTTAGGGTTTAGGGTTTAGGGTTTAGGGTTTAGGGTTTAGGGTTTAGGGTTTAGGGTTTAGGGTTTAGGGTTTAAAGTTTAGGGTTTAAAGTTTAGGGTTTAAAGTTTAGGGTTTAGGGTTTAGGGTGTAGGGGTTAGGGTTTAGGGAAAGATCAGGGTGCTTTAGGTAAAAACAGTCAACCCACAGAAGGCCAGGCACGCGGAGATGTAGAAAAGGATCTCACTCCGCCGGTGAATGCCCACGGTGTGGGCGATGTAGATGCCCGGCAGATTGAAGGCTCCGAAGAAGCCCATGAGGCCTCTGCATACAGCTTGGGGGGGCGGGGATTAGGGCCTGCTACTGTTTAAAAAGGCATCCCAACCCCCAACCCCCAACCCCCCCCCCCCCAAAAAAAAAATAAAAATAATGAACTTGAAAAAAAAAAATATATATAAGAAAAAGACTGGCAAGGCCTCTGGCAATGAGAAGAGTCCACCTGAACCTCATCAAGCCAGCCAAGGCGTAGAGGACTGAGCCCAGCACGGTGAAGAGTGTGGAGACAATCCTGGGTTTGTTTTGGGGTTTAGGGTTGAAGAGTGTGGAGACAATCCTCTGGGTTTGGGGACTTTGGGGGGTTTTGGGGTTTTGAGGTTTGGGGCTTAGGGGTTTTTTTCGGTTTAGGGGTTTGGGGTTTGTTCAGTTCAGGGCAGGGTATGGTGACGATCACAGGTGTGGTCGGCTTGGAGGAAAAAAACCCTAAACCCTGAACCCTGAACCCTAACCCCTAAACCCTAAACATCCCTAAACCCTAAACCCTAGCTGAGATCGTCCCAGGCTCCAGATGTGCTTTAAGGGCACGAAAGTGAGGAGCCACTGGTTGAACAAGTTCCCGGCAATGCTCAGGATCGGAAGCGCGGCAAGCATCAGCCCAGCGAACAGCCGACCCGCGCCCAACCTTCACTGTACTTATTACTGTTAGGGTTTAGGGTTTAGGGTTTAGGGTTTAGGGTTTAGGGTTTAGGGTTTAGGGTTTAGGGTTTAGGGTTTAGGGTTTAGGGTTTAGGGTTTAGGGTTTAGGGTTTAGGGTTTAGGGTTTAGGGTTTAGGGTTTAGGGTTTAGGGTTTAGGGTTTAGGGTTTAGGGTTTAAGGGTTTAGGGTTTAGGGTTTAGGGTTTAGGGTTTAGGGTTTAGGGTTTAGGGTTTAGGGTTTAGGGTTTAGGGTTTAGGGTTTAGGGTTTAGGGTTTAGGGTTTAGGGTTTAGGGTTTAGGGTTTAGGGGATCTTACTTGGAGGTTCATGGTACATATTAACCACTTATACTTGTACTGAGAACCCACTTCTGAGCCCCTTAAGTGCCCAAATAAGGATATACTTGGGTTCTAAGTACAGCTCTAATTGGGTTAATAAGTACTACGAACCTCCAAGTAGACAAGGTTGCGACTACGAGTCTTACCTTCAGCTTCCGGAGGCAGGAAACCATGGCCGTTCCAAAACCCTAGCAAAAACTAGCAAAAATTGGAATTTTAGCTGCTTCCTAGGAATTAAAGTACCCAAAAATGAAATTAAAGACTATTTTCAAGTATCCGTAAGGTTCATCGGAAATTTCTCCTTTCGGGCGCCGTAAACCGTCACCCCCAAAACCGGAACCCCAAACCCTAACCCTTAAACCCTTAAACCCTTAAACCCTTAAACCCTTAAACTCTTAAACCCTTAAACCCTTAAACCCTTAAACCCTTAAACCCTTAAACCCTTAAACCCTTAAACCCTTAAACCCTTAAACCCTTAAACCCTTAAACCCTTAAACCCTTAAACCCGAAACCCTGAGACCCTAAACCCAAACCCTAAACCCCAAACCCTAAATAACCCTAAGCCTAAGGCATAGGAGGGGGGCGAGGGCTCAGGCTCTGGAGATTTTGAGGGGTCAACACGTTTCGGGTTAAGGGTTAAGGGTTTAAGGGTTTAAGGGTTTAAGGGTTTAAGGGTTTAAGGGTTTAAGGGTTTAAGGGTTTAAGGGTTTACATATCTTGGGTTTAAGGGTTTCGGGTTTCGGGTTACAAGCCCCAACCTCTCCGCGTAGTCGTTTGCCGTCGGGATGGTGATCACAACGTTGATGGTCCCAAGCATCAAGAAGTAGTAGAGAAGCACCTTACCGGTTGAGTTTCGTAGGCAAAGGATCAACGTGTCTGTTGTCAACACCCCAAGCGACGGAAGCGTGTCTTCTACTCAAGATGGTATGGTCTACCTACAACCTCCTATACCAAGAGCTGGTATGCATCACGCTGGGTGTGCGCCGCCGATGCCCTGTGGAGAGTCGCTGGATACAAGGTACAGATTGCAAGGGATACGATCAACCATGAGTTGATACTGCAAGAGTCCCCTGGTGCAAGCGCAGGAAAGCGGCGCCCACCCCAACCGCACCCGTGATTTAGTTCCGGGAATGTCGATGGGAGGCTCTCAGAGCACGATGCCTATGCCCATCCTAAGCCCTTATCGGGAGGAAAGTCCTCCCGGGAGCCGACACGCTTTGCACTTCAGGATTCAGACTCAAGGCTAGGGATTGGGGTTTAGGGTTTAGGGTTTAGGGTTTAGGGTTTAGGGTTTAGGGTTTAGGGTTTAGGGTTTAGGGTTTAGGGTTTAGGGTTTAGGGTTTAGGGTTTAGGGTTTAGGGTTTAGGGTTTAGGTTCTAGGGTTTAGGGTTTAGGGTTTAGGGTTTAGGGTTTAGGGTTTAGGGTTTAGGGTTTAGGGTTTAGGGTTTAGGGTTTAGGGTTTAGGGTTTAGGGTTTAGGGTTTAGGGTTTAGGGTTTAGGGTTTAGGGTTTAGGGTTTCGGGACTACTCTGCAGCTCAGGCACCAAGGATGTCATGGGAGGCATCCGCTCCTTGTCGTCCAGGGGCTCCGTCGCTTCGCTGGGAGCGATGTCCTCGGTGGTTTTCAGGCCTTGGGGTTTAGGGGCTCCGTTAATGGGGTTGAGGGTTTAAGGTCTCGCAGGCCCCAAACCCTAGGAGGGTGGGATTCCGGATGCTTGGGACTTTCGACCCTCCGGGCAAGGCCCGGATTTAACGGAACCAAGAAGGAAACGGATAGGATCTTAAGAGGGGTCTCCGCCCGGAGCCTAGTCCGCCTGAAGCCCTAAACCTGCGCCCAAACAAAAACAGGATACCAACTCGCTTAAACTTAGGGTTAGGGTTTAGGGTCTAGGGCCTTAGTGGTTTCAGGACTTAGGGCTCAGGGTTTCGTGCTTAGGTTTTTTGGGTTTCAGGCTCAGGTATTTCTGCTTCAACCCCTCCACCCAACAAGGCATCCAGGTGTCTTTCGCACTAAACCCTAAACCCTAAACCCTAAACCCTAAACCCTAAACCCGAAACCCTAAAACCTAAACCAGGTGTCTTTCGCATGGGCGCCGAGGTCGGAGCAAGTCTCCATCTCCGCGGTGCACGTCACTGTGGCCATGGCGAGCGCTCAGAGAAGCGAGAGTCAAGAGCGGGGCGTTGGCCAAAGGAAGCTTGAGCAAGACTTCTCGACGACGATTGACCAGGTTGGCTCTTTACCACCTCTAAACAGATTCCTAATTGTGATCCTTTGGAACCCAATAACCCTAAACCCTAACCCTACCTAGTTGAGAATTCAAGGTCGAGAGTGGCCCCGACACTCGAGCTCTAGGTGGGGGATCATGGGGTAGTTGCAAGGAATTCACGCGTGGTAAAGCACCCATGAAGCGTCTTGTGAGCCTAACCCGAATCCCTAAACCCTAAGCCCTAAGCCCTAAACCCTAGGTCCTAAGCCCTAAGCCCTGAGCCTCAAGCCCCAAACCCTTACTTCTAAAACTGAACGCATCAACATTGGGGGGTTGGACTCTTGGGGCCCGCAGGTGCTCACAAAACCTGTTCCTAGGGGCCCAAACCCTGCATGAAGGTTTCGTGTTGGTTTAGGGTTTAGGGTTTAGGGTTTAGGGTTTAGGGTTTAGGGTTTAGGGTTTAGGGTTTAGGGTTTAGGGTTTAGGGTTTAGGGTGCTTGTGTCAGTCTTAGGTTTCGAAATTTGCCGCTTGTGTCAGTGGCCTTAGTTCGTGCTACTGATTTGGTGTGTTGGCTGTTAGCCGTTAGCTGTTAACTGCTAGCTGCTAGCTGCTGTCAGCGTCAGTGTCAGTGTCAGTGCTAGTGTTCGTCTCAGTCTCACCCTCAGTCTCAGTCTCAGTCCTAGTCCTAGTCTTAGTCTTAGTCTTAGTCTCAGTCTTAGTCTTAGTCTTAGTGTTCGAGTTAGCGCGAGAGCTAGAGCTAGAGCTAGAGCTGGAGCTGGAGCTAGAGCTAGAGCTAGAGCTAGGGAGATTCTGACTGACATGCGCTCTGCTGACTGTGAGCATGCACGAAGCTGAAAAAATCCGGATAAACCTTGGGACCCAAGTCAGGAGATTGATTGGCCGACTGTTCCGGCCTACTTACTAAGTTCCCGGAAGCTTCAAGGTGGGAGGCATGATTTTCATGCGCACAAAATCATGTCTCTCACCCGCCACTGGAGGGTTCCGGGTTTGGGTTTTGCAATGCCAAAGCACTTCGATTGTCAGCGGGCTGCTTCCATACCAACTGGGTTACTGGCCATCTGCTCGAATGGTACACTCAGGGCAACGGCCCTAAATGTGTTTAGGGCTTCAGGTTTCAAGGGTATATAGGTAGGGCTTGAGGTTCCAATTTCTGTGCATTCTCAAGGGGCTTTCCGGACGGTAGGACCACAGGCAGGAAGACCTCAGAGATGTGCATCGCAATCATGGCCCTGCGCCTTTCTCTCACCGAAACCCCACTGAGTTGAAGGACTGCGAACTTGCAAGTGAGCCACCCATTTCCTTAAACCCGAGCCCGTTGGGAAGCGGTGCGCTGTGCTGGCTGTCTCCTGCGCTGGCCGGCCCCGTCGGCTCTCACTCAGGAACGGTGCCTACCGGGACAGAGGCGAGGAAGGGGGCGGCAGCGCATGGCGGAAGGCAAGATTTTGAGTTGGGAGCCTTACTCGCCTTGACTCCGCCACTTCACCGTTGACAGTGAATGCGGACATTCAACGTGCGCCAAGAGCGACAAGAACCAGCGAACCAAGAAGAGGAGTCATGGTGTTGCAGTAGTGTCGCATTAGTGTCGCATTTGTGTGGCATTGTATCTCGGAGATTATTACCTTGGCCCTAGAGCTAGCGTCAGAGTCAGAGCTAGAGGTAGAATCACAGTCAGAGTCAGTCAGAGTTAGAGGTAGAGTCAGTCAGAGCCAGAGCCAGAGCCAGAGCCAGAGCCAGAGCCAGAGCCAGAGCCAGAGCCAGAGCCAGAGCCAGAGTCAGAGTCAGAGTCAGAGTGAGCGTGAGCGTGAGAGTGAGAGTGCGAGCGAGAGCGACAGTGAGACTGAGAGTGAGAGTGAGAGTGGGAGTGAGAGTGAGAGTGAGAGTGGGAGTTAGAGTTAGAGTTAGAGTTCGAGTTAGAGTTAGAGTTAGAGTTCTCCGACGCCGGCTGCGAATCCTAAACCCGGAAACACAGGAACCCAGATGCCGGCATTTTCTGGCAGCCGATCATATGAAAGCGATCGCAGTGGGCAGCGGAGCGTCACTGGGAGTCTCTCTGTGCAACAGAAAGTGCTACAATCAGATGGACAAGCCCATCGCGCAGTAGCCCTAAACCCTAAACCCTAAACCCTTAACCCTTAACGCCCTTAAGCCCTAAACCCGACACCTAGACCCGAATGGGGGTGAGGGTTTGGAGGGTTTGGGTATGGGAGGTTCGGGGTCCTGCTGCTCAAGGGGGCGTCCAGAAGCCTGGGGGTTTCGTGACTGGCGAATTTAGCGGCCTAATCATTGCACCAGAATGCGCATTTTGCTTATACTCATTCTATAAACTCCTTCGGAATTCTTATAAGAACCCTAAACCCTAAACCCTAAACCCCTGTTCTTCATGCTCCGTCACTAAGCGGCCAGCAGCGGCGCCGACGCGCCCTTCTTCTCCGCAGTGGTTCCCACACCCCGGATGCGAAACCAGATCGCAGAGCTCACGATCACGCCCAGCACGTTGATCATCGTGAGCATGAAGCTGACGCAGCCTTTGCCTAGGTTGCTCAGGGTTTAGGGCTTAGGGCTTAGGGTGAAGAGCTTAGGGTTTAGGGTTTAGGGGGTTTAGGGGGTTTAGGGGGTTTAGGGGGTTTAGGGGGTTTGGGGTTTAGGGTTTAGGGTCTAGGGTTTAGGTCTAGGGTTTAGGGTAGTAATAGCCTCTTTCAAGGCAGCTTGCCACCCTCAATCCCAATTAAACCTCAAACCCTTAAACCCTTAAACCCTTGAACCCTGAAAGCCAGAACCCTGAACCGTAAACCCTGAACCCTAATAGCCTAAATCCTAAACCCGTACCAGGAATACGGTTTGCTTGGGGCAGCCTGGTTGCGGAAGCGGGCCTGCACGACCTCCGCCTCCGAGCCGCTTCGCAAGAGGCCCCAGGCCATGTAGATTCCGCTGTTCACCAAAGGCGGCAACCTGCACGAACCCAGAGAGGCGTTTAGGGATTCAGAGTGTTTAGGGTTTAGGTGTTTAGGGCTGAGGGTTTAGGGTTTAGGGCTTGGGGTTAGAGGTTTAGGTGTTTAGGGTTTAGGGGTTCAGGGTTTAGGGTTTAGGGTGGATGAGTTTAGAGTTCAAGGTAGCCCAATACCCCTGAACTGCCTGTCTTCCATAGTTAAGGATACGTATGTACCGCGAATGAAGTGCAGGGACTGTTGGGCTCTCAGGGGTGAAGGAAGCAAGCAGGGCCAACTTCATGCCTGTGAACCTTCAAGTCGCTACACACACTGAAGCCCTCAACCCTCCACCCCAAACCCCTAAGTCCCTAAACCCTAAAGCCCTGAACCCTAACCTTGAACCCCAAACTCAATTAGATAAACCCCCAAACCCCCAAACCCTAAACATCCCTGAAGCCCGCAACCCTAAACCCTGAACCCCCAAACTCAAATAGACAAAACCCGCAAACCCCTGAACCCTAAACATCCCTAAACCCCTAAACCCCTAAACCCTAAACCCTGAACCCTGAACCCTAAACCCTAAACCCTAGCCCCTAAACCCTGAACCCTAAACCCTGAACCCCCAAAGCCGTTTGGGGTGGCAAAAACACTCAGCAGGCAAAAGCCGAGCGCAGACAGGGCGCAGCGAGGCGCTTATCGCGACGCCAACCTGGGTTTAGGGTTTCGGCTTTAGGGTGTAGGGTTTTAGGGTTGAGGGTTCAGGGCTCAGGGTTCAGGGGTTAGGGTATGGGGTTTCAGGGCGGAGGGGTTTAGGCTTAGCTTTTAGGGTTCAGGGCTTAGGGCTTAAGGTCTGCGAGCGGGTTTGACCTACCCAAATGACGCAAGTTAAGCCAGCATTACAAGGAAACCATAGACTTCTTCTTCAGATCCGTCTTATGGTAGCTTCAGCTCCCTAAACCCTAAGCCGCAAACCCTAAACGCTGAACCCTAAACCCTAAACCCTGAACCCTGAACCCTATATCCATCTTATGGTAACCTAAGCTCCTCAATGGCAACCCGGCAACCAGGGCGTTGATGCCACGGTTCCGCAGGCCGTTTGCGACCCCGATGCCAGACACGATCGAGATGATGGTTCCCGGAACCAAGGTTCTATAGACGTGCGTCCTCGGCTGGGGAACCCTTGCTAGGGCTGAAGGTTTTGGGGGTTTAGGGTTTATGGTTTCGGGTTTAAGGTACAAGGTTTAGGGTTTAGCTTGGGGCATAGACGTGCGTCCTCGACTGGGGGAACCGTTGTTAGGCTTTCGGGCTGAAGGCTTACAGGGTTTAGGGCATGGGGCTTAAAGGCTTTCCGACCTACGGCTTTATGATGTCTAGTACTGGAACAGAGACATTTTCCCTACAAAGCCCTAAACCCTGAAAACAAACAAAACGGGGGACCTTGGGCGTGCGCTTTCTTGACGTGTTGTCAATCTTTGTGTCGCTGCTTCCACAAACTAGGATGGCCCTCAAGACCCTCTGAAAAAAGGGGTTTAGGATTTAGGGTTTAGGGTTTCGGGTTTCGGGTTTAGGGTTTAGGGTTTAGGGTTTAGGGTTTAGGGTTTAGGGTTTAGGGTTTAGGGTTTAGGGTTTAGGGTTCCTAGGAAAAAAGCACAAACCTAGCGTCCGACTGTCCATCTCCTGTGTGGGCCAGTGCCAGCTTTCGTCCATGCGGGCCCAGAGAAAGGCAGGTCCCAACGCTAACCCAACGGAGACGCAGCCCAGCACCGCGAAGAAGAAGTCCTTGGGTTGGTTTGATTTTTCTTAAACACCCCTCGGGGTTTGGGTTCTCCTTTAGGTCTTCAAACGGGCGGGTCGCGATGCGGGGTGCGGCGCGGCAAGCAAAGGCAGAAAAGACGGCGTCGGGGGATCCACCACAGGGAGACCCCAGGACGGTTTGAGGCGGCGGTGGGGCGGAGGTTTCGTCGGGAAAGGTCAGGGTTTGGAGGTTTAGGGTTTAGGGTTTGGGGTTTAGGGTTTGGGGCTTGGGGTTTAGGGTTTAGGGTTTAGGGGTTTCGAAAAACAAGGGTGCCCTTTTCGTTTGATAGGGCCTTGGAGGGAACCGAACCCAAGAGGAGTGGAGTACGGGGCCACTCTGAGGCCCTCTGGGGAGCTGAAATGCAGTCTTCCTTGGGCATTAGGGTTTCACTACTATGGTAGCTGTGGTAGCTGTTAAGGGGGTCTAAGGCTAGAAGGGACCCTTAATCATATTCCCCAAAATAGGCCCCTATATAACCCCTACATAAACCTGTTATAGTCACAACAGAACCGAAGGAGCCCCTAAATCCCCAACTCACCCCTGAGGTCCCTTACAAGAGTCCCTCCTTTAGTCCCTTCAGAAGCTTAGGCTTAAGTTCCGTAACACATATCAACCCAGCGTCGCGGAAGGCATTCGTCATGAAGCTCCTCTCTTTCCAGAGGGACCAGTCTACCAGGGAAAAAGACAGCTGAATGATCGGGGACATCAATGGAGAGATCAGCCTGGCGACAGGGAGGTGAGAAGACTGGAGCTAGCCTTCGCGCTGATGAGTAGGACTTTTCTTTCAAACCCTAAACCCTAAACCCTAAACCCTAAACCCTAAACCCTAAACCCTAAACCCTAAACCCTAAACCCTGAATTTCAGAGCAGCAGGAAGGTCACAACGTCAGGCTTCCTCTAGAAGGAAACGAAGGCTGACGAAGGCTGCACTGAAGCGACGCATAAACCCTTGGGAAGACCAATGCAAGGCTAATCCTCCTATATAAGGGACTTTACGAAAATAGGGGACCCCTAAAATACACCCCCAAATTATAGGATTCCCTTTTCATAAGGACCCCAGTAAGGTACCCTAATTTCGGAAACCACCACAAGTTGTTTGTGCGCTTGTCGCTGAAAGCCATCTCACGCTATGCCAGGTTTCGGGTTTAGGGTTAAGGGTTTAGACTTAGGGTTTAGGGTTTAGGGTTTAGGGTTTAGGGTTTAGGGTTTAGGGTTTAGGGTTCAGCTGTCCAGGTGACATGCTGGCCACCACTGTGGCGCTGCTGTCCGTGGCGAGGCCAACGGCCGCCATGCCCGCGGCCACTAGGAGGTTGCACCTGAGGGTTTGAGGGTTTAGGGCTAGAGTTTAGGGTTTAGGGTTTAGGGTTAGGGCTAGAGTTTAGGGTTTAGGTTTGGGGCTTAAGGCTTAGGGCTTAGGGCTTAGGGCTTAGGGTTTCAGGGTTTAGGGTGTAGGGTTTAGGGGTTTGGGGCTTCGGGTTGCGGGTCTCGGGTTTAACACTTGAAGCTGGGGCTGTAGGGGTTTCAGGCTTGAACCTTCTCATGTTCAGCGTTTGAGGTTCAAGGTACCTCCGAATATTGGTTTCTAGGTTCTTTGGTTTTTGGGAACCCTGTGAACCTTGGCTGCCTTGGATCAGTTCAGGGTGTAGGGTTGGGGCGCGTAGAGGGGTTGGGGATTTCGGGGCTTCAGGGGCTGATAAGGTTTGGGGGCTTCAGGGTGGGGCTTGAGGGTTTAGGGCTTTCGAAGCTTGGGCTTTAGGGTTTAGGGTTTAGGGTTTGGGGTTTAGGGTTTAGGGTTCAGGGTTTGGGGTTTAGGGCTTTCGGGCGGGCTTCCGCGTTGAGCCTAAACCCACAAAGCCATGCTAGTTGCCGCGGCTTGCACCACGCTGCAATGCCGCGGATGTCCTGGCGCCGCACCACCTGGCGGCAACAAGGGAACCTTAGGGTTTAGGGTTTAGGGTTCAGGGTTCAGGGTTCAGGGTTAGGGTTTAGGGTTTAGGGTTTAGGGTTTAGGGTTTAGGGTTTAGGGTTTAGGGCTGAGGGTTTAGGGCTTATCCCCATACCCCAAAAGGTATCTAAAGGGAATCCCAGCTCTAATCATCCTTCAACCATGTTTCGACTTTCTGGAATTGACTGTAGGGCTTAGGCATAGGGAGATACACAAATACTTCATTTAGGGTTTCGGGTTTCGGGTCTATCAATTGAGGTATCATCGGGACTACTTAGCGCTTTAGGGTTTAGGGTAAGCGTGCCAGGAGTTTTGTGTAAAGCTCTGAGCTTCGGGCAAGGACTTTTGGGAACGGCTGTATGGAGGCTTCGTGTATGAGCACCACGTCCTTCTCACTCTTATTAAACCCTAAACCCTAAACCCCAAACCCTCTAGGCCTTCGGCTGGTTCGACAAATCTGCTTTTTCCATCACCACGGGGGCAATGCAATCATGGCCCCAACCCTAAACCCTAACCCTGAAACCCTGAAACCCTGAAACCTTGAAACCCATCTTGCCGCATGCATGCGTACATTCGGCCTGTCGCAGCTCTTCGATGGACAGCCGCTCGGTGTTGAAGGGGCTGCGTCCCAGAACTGACAGTGAGCCCCCGCCCTCTTCCAGACGCGCTTCCTCTGCAGGGGTTTAGGGTTCAGGGTTTAGGGAGACCCTCAACCCTAAACCCTCCCTAAACCCTAAGCCCTGAGCCCAAAAAAGAAGCTGCGCAAGCTTCCGCTACGAGAGCCGCAAGTCTCGCAATGCATCCCGTGCCGAAGCAGCAAACCCACGTGCACAGCAACTACCATCAACCTGGCATGGCTTCACCCTAAACTGTAGGGTCCTAAACCCCTCAGAAACTGGGGGAGGACTCTGCAGTCCTGAGCTGCGGCAATCAGGTTGTCAAGCTCCACGTTGTCATCACTGATTGCCAAGTAGGAGGTGGTGGACACGTTCGAGCCTTCGCGGCCTTTGGGAACCACACTCCGCGTCTCAAGCCTCACGAAGCTTGGGCATTCCTCCGGGGACTTCTCACTGCAAATTCGGTTGATCATGTCCTCTACCACGCCATCTTGATGCTGGCATACATTCACCTTACTGTTGGTCAGTCGGGAATAAGGGAGTGAGGCACCCTATCCTTCATTCCCTACTTGGAGGTTCATGGTACTTAATAACCAATTTTAACTGTACTTATAACCCACTCATAAGCCCCTTAAGTGCCCTAATCAGGTTATAAGTACACTTGTCAGTACAGCTATCACTGGTTAATAAGTACCATGAACCTCCAAGTACCAAAACCAACAGTAAGTCACGAGAGCCAAGCGGTGCAAGCCGACACAGCGATCACCACTGGGACCAGAAGGTGTGTAGGCCATGGCACCGCAAAAAAAAGGTTCCCTGGACCTAGACTTGAAGCAGATAAGCTGCCGCAATGGAATTTGAGGGTTTAGGGTTTAGGGTTTAGGGTTTAGGGTTTAGGGTTTAGGGTTCAGGGTTCAGGGTTCAGGGTTGAGGGTTTAGGGTTTAGGGTTTAGGGTTTATGGCCTTTTCCAAGCCAGTCCACACAGAGATGCAAGATGATGTCCCCCACCTGTTACAATCTTGTCGAGGCCTCTCCTTCTCGCCCTCAGTCACGCGAAAATGTGAACCCCTCTTTAGGGTTTAGGGTTTAGGGTTGGGGTTTAGGGTTTAGGGTTTAGGGGTTTAGGGGTTTAGGGGTTTAGGGTTTAGGGTTTAGGGTTTAGGGTTTAGGGTTTAGGGTTTAGGGTTTAGGGTTTAGGGTTTAGGGTTTAGGGTTTAGGGTTTAGGGTTTAGGGTTTAGGGTTTAGGGTTTAGGGTTTAGGGTTTAGGGTTTAGGGTTTAGGGTTTAGGGTTTAGGGTTTAGGGTTTAGGGTTTAGGAAACCTACTCAGTGACTCACCAGAACGAATAGATGTTGCCCAGCGCTATGGTCACTTCTCTAAAATATGGTCTGACTATAAGGCGGCCCCTCTCATTTAGAGACTATAGTACCCCCGTACGATGATCCCTATCATTAAGGAACATCCCACCTAAACCCTAAACTCTAAACCCTCAACATCCCAAACCATGCCCAGACAGCCCATGCAATCTTGCGGCACACACTTGTGCATGAAACGGTCGTACGGCAGGGGGTTTAGGGTTTAGGGTTTAGGGTTTAGGGTTTAGGGTTTAGGGTTTAGGGTTTAGGGTTTAGGGTTTAAGGGTTTAGGGTTTAAGGGTTTAGGGTTTAGGGTTTAGGGTTTAGGGTTTAGGGTTTAGGGTTTAGGGTTTAGGGTTTAGGGTTTAGTACTTCTCCCAGGTGCGCGGCCAGGTTTGCAAGCAGCCGCAACAAGCTGGGCCCATGCGGGATTCTTACTTGGAGGTTCATGGTACTCATTAACCTATTTAGGGTTTAGGCTTTAGGGTTTAGGGTTTAGGGTTTAGGGTTTAGGGTTTAGGGTTTGGGGTTTGGGGTTTAGGGTTTAGGGTTTAGGGTTTAGGACTTAGGGTTTAAGGTTTAGGGCTTAGGGCTTAGGGTTATAACTGTACTTATAACTGTACTTAGAACCTTATTAGGGCACTTAAGTGGCTTCTAAGTGGGTTAGACGTAAAGTTACAATTGGTTCCTAAGTACCATGAACCTCCAAGTAGGCCACACCTCGGAACGCTCCTTGAGTCGCGCTGAAGGGCTTTGGGGCGCTTCGGGTTCTAGAGTGTGGGGTTTGGGGTGTAGGGCTTAGGGTCCCAGAGTGTGGGGTTTGGGGTTTGGGGTTTTGGGTTTCGGGTCTTGGGCCTTGGGCTTTGAATTGTGCCGACAAGCCCCAAGCCCTTCAAAGATCGCGGACCCTAAACCCTAAACCCTAAACCCTAAACCCTAAACCCTAAACCCTAAACCCTAAACCCTAAGCTGTTGTTCGACCCGCACATGGCAAGCCAAGCTCCCTCCACTCCTCACGACCTTGCAAGGCTGTTTGGGCATTCACTTAGGGTTTAGGGTTTAGGGCTCCTTCCTTAGAAACTATACAGCTTGCATGTGCACATGCCCGAGAAAATGCCCAGGCGTGATGTGTTAGCACACTAGCCCTAAAAGTAACAAATTCATGTTGGGCAGTGCGAACCCAAACCCTGGAAGCTCTACGCCCTTAAACTGGTGTTGTGCTTAAGAAGCGCGAACTACACCCGAAAATATCACAGTTGCTCTCCCAACAAGCCTTGAGCCTAATAGTGATCTTGGGCCTCAGAAGCCCTAGGCCCGGAACCTTGAAATCCCTGGACCCCAAACCCTAAACTCCAAACCCGAAACCCCAAACCTTTAAACCCCAAACCCTAAACCCCCAAACCCTGGACCCTAAACCCCCAAACCCCCAAACCCTGGACCCTAAAACCCCCCAACCCAAGACCCTAAACCCTGCTTGGAGGTTCATGGTACTTATTAATCAATGATCACTGTACTTATAACTGTACTTATGAGCCCCTAAGTGTCCTCCTAATATGGTTAGAAGTATGGGCATAAGCACTGTTATACTTGGTTACTAAGTCCTAACCCCTAGACCCTAAACCCCCCAACCCCAAACCCTAAACCCTGGATCTTGCGGACCGAGCCCTTGCCGGCCTACCTGCGCCAGGCCCTGTGCCTTTGTGGGCTCCTTCGAATTTAGGGTTTGGGGGGTTGAGGGTGTAGGGTTTAGGGTTTAGGGTTTAGGGTTTAAGGTTTAAGGTTTAAGGTTCTAGATCTTGGGTTGTAGGGTGCTGCGGGTCGAAAGTTAGGGTTCGAAGGGTTTGGCGGGATTTAGTCCAGAGCTTGGGAATCAGCACTGCGTTCCACCAACCAGGACTATGTCTAATCTTGCCATTACACCCTGGGATTCCCTAGCTAGGTTAAACCCTAAACCCTAAAACCCTAAACCCTAAACCCTAAGCATGAAACCAGGAAACCGAAAAAGCCGTGGGAACCTGGGTCCAAGACCAATATCGGGAACCAACAAAAACCCATTTTCCGTAGCATGCCACTGCCCTATACCCTAAACCCTGAACCCTGAACCCTGAACCCTGAACCCTAAACCCTAAACCCTAAACCCTAAACCCTAAACCCTAAACCCGGTCTTTCAAGGTCGACTCGAGGGTGTAGGGTTTCAGGACCCTCTAAACCCTAAACCCTAAACCCTGCCTCCCTTTCCCGAAGCCGTAAACCTAAACCTGGACATGCCGATCTACCAGGAGGATGTGGATTTAGGGTTTAGGGTTTAGGGGTTTAGGGGTTTAGGGTTTAGGGGTTTAGGGTCTAGGGGTTTAGGGTTTAGGGGTTCAGGGGTTCAGGGGTTCAGGGGTTTAGGGGTTTAGGGGTTTAGGGGTTTAGGGGTTTAGGGGTTTAGGGGTTTAGGGGTTTAGGGGTTTAGGGGTTTAGGGGTTTAGGGTGCCCTACTTGCATCCAGCTGTTTGACCACGCCTGGGCAAGCTCCATATCCTTGAAAGCTTTGAAACGGCAGAGACTACTCGGGAGTTGCCATGGGCCTTGGAGCAGGAATCATAGGCAACATGTCGTGGGATAGCTTCCCTAACCCTAACCCTAAACCCTAAACCCTAAACCCTAAACCCTAAACCCTCAACCCTAAACCCTAAACCCTAAACCCCATGTCCTCAAACTCTGGGATAGCTTCCCGTTGGAGAAAAAGTCTTCAAAATCCTGATGGCGGGCTGCCCTCACCGACTGGAACCACCCAGGGCTCCGGGATCAGGCCGCGAACTCCTGCGAGTTAAGGGTTTTTTTCGGGTTTAGGGTTTAGGGTTTAGGGTTTAGGGTTTAGGGTTTAGGGTTTAGGGTTTAGGGTTTAGGGTTTAGGGTTTAGGGTTTAGGGTTTAAGGTTTAGGTTAGAGCCTAAAGCATCCGCTTGGACCCTACTTGGAGGTTCATGGTGCTTTTGAACCAATTATAACTGTACTTCTGACCCCACTTATAAGACCCTTAAGTGCCCTAATAAGGCTATAAGTACAGCTATAAGCACAGTTATAATTGGTTCATAAGTACCATGAACCTCCAGGTAAGCCCTAAACCCTAGGGTTTAAAAGTCGAGGGTGCTTCTCTGAGTTTGAAAACTTCTGCGTGTTGGGTTTCAGGCTTGCGGATTTTAGACTGGTAAGTCCAAGGATCTAGAGGGGTCGAAATACCCTTATCCCAAGAGAGGGTTTCGGGTTTAGGGGGGTAAAAGTACCATCACAATAGCTTGATAAGTACCATGAACCTCCAAGTAGGGCTTGGGGCCCTATACATTCTAAAGCCCGCCAGTCCATGGTAAGCTTCGTGACAGACAGGTAATCGGAAGTGGTGTCTTGCATTCGAGGCGGAACTTATTCTGGGATAAAGCTAGGCATCCCGTAGCCCTGAACCTTGAGCCCGCAATCATCGACTTGACCTAGTCCAGAAAACCTTAAACCCTGAACCAACTCAAAATTGCGCCACACAAGGCGTAAACGCAGCCATCAACTGGCGCAACATGTATACGCTGTTCTTAGTAGGTTTGCTCACTCCATGCTGTTAAAAGCTTTTAACTATGGTTTACACTGGCTTTTCCCTAACAATGGAATAAGGGCCTACCTACTCTGAGTCCTAGCTAAGTTACCAAGGGAGCGTCAGCAGAGAAGCCCCTTCAGATGTTGCTGTTCGAGAACTGGATTTACTTCAAACCCTAAACCCTAAACCCTAAACCCTAAACCCTAAATCCTAAATTAAATCGACTGGACTTCCAGCTCTGTACCGCGCAAAGGAGAGCTGGTCGTCCCTGGGACATCTAGCAACCCGTGCACCCCAGCTAGAAGGTGTAATTACCCAGGCCCTTGGGAGGATCCAAAAAACAGAACCCCCAAATAGTACCCTATACTACTACTGGGTGATTCTTAGGAACCCCTTCAGGGTATCTGCTGTTTTGGATCCTCCCAGATTGCTGATACGCGTTAACATCCTCTGCTGGGCTGCTTCATTTTATATGTTTTGCTTCTTGCGACGGCCACTCAGTACCCCACAACCCTGGGAGGATCCAAAAAGGAATCCCCTTAAGGGCGCCGAAAAATGACCCAATAGTAGTATTAGGGTACTATTTGGGGGCTCTTTTTTTGGATCCTCTCAGAAGTCTGGGCATCTTATGGTACTTAATCGCGCACGGGTAATGCAGCAACAGCAACCGAGGATGAGTGAGCTTTGTGGAGATGGAGCGTCTTACCTCTTAGCGACGCTCGATGAGTCCCACCCTCCGTAACCATATTATAGTAAGGGCACCCCATTTTGGGGTGGGTTACTTTACAAGGGAACCTTGAACTAAAGAAAGGGACAAGGGTACTACTGGGCTACTAAGACTCTCAGTGTATACCCTCAAAAGCCCAACACCCCAAGTATGTCTTGTAGTTTCCAGGAGGTGCATGCGGCTTTCGAAAAACTTCGCAAAAGTCCGCAGAAAAAGGTCATGCAAACCATCCGGCTTTCCCAATCTCAGGACCATAGTGTAAGGGGCTTTGGGGGGGTTTCGACGCCACATCCATTTGGCTGAGGTAAGAAAGCTTCCGGTCTAGAAGACTAACTTAAACCCCCCCCCTACCCCCTAATATTATAACTATAATATAACTACAATGGGGGGGGGGTACTTAATATTAGGGGGAGGGACTACGTGAGCCTTGAGCTTAAAGAGTCCTTGCTTAGCTTCTAAAGGGCCCATTGGCAGTGTGCCTTTGACAAGCGGCCCCGAAACCTAAACCCTAAACCCTAAACCCTAAACCCTAAACCCTAAACCCTAAACCCTAAACCCTAAACCCCAAACCCTAAACCTGGTTTAGGGTTGGCAAGGTCTTGAAAACCCCTCAAACCCAGGAAGCCACAATCCTACAACGCTTGGCGTGCCGTAACCCGTCAGGGTCCAGGGTTTGGGGTTTAGGGTTTAGGGTTTAGGGTTTAGGGTTTAGGGTTTAGGGTTTAGGGTTTAGGGTTTAGGGTTTAGGGTTTAGGGCTTAGGGTTTAGGGCTTAGGGTTTTTAAGTCTTCGGGGCGCCTACGCCCAATCAGTTCTAAAAGGTAGTTGCATGGGCCCAGTGGTACGGTCCCCGGCCTCCCTTCAAGGGTTCTGAAGTATGGACCCTTGGTTGTATAGGGTTTAGGGTTTAGGGTTTACGGTTCAAGGGTTCTGAAGTAATGGGCCCTTGGTTGCATAGGGTTTTGCGCGGTTTTGAACGGGTCCCCGGGTTAAGGCGCGCCAAACCTCAGACACTATAAACCTTCTTAGTGTTGTTGGGTCTGGGGCTTGGGGTTAACCCTAAACCCTAAACCCCGAAACCCTAGGGTTGCGGCATCATATGCCCGACACGCAGGCTAGGGGGGGTGTTGGGTGCACTTTGGGGCGGTGTTACTCCAATCACGGTTCAACCGGATCCTTGTTTCTTGGGGTTTTTTAGGGTGTAGGGTTTAGGGTTTAGGGTTTTGGGGAGTTGCTCACCTTGTCCACGGACAATGCAGAGTTCACCACCTTGCGGCCGTTCCTTGGCTTCAGGGGCAAGCAGAGGACACCCTGCACCCCAAACCCTCGAGCCTAGGGGATAGGATTAGTGGGGGACCCTTGGGGATATAGACCCTCTGAAAAAGGTCCCTGTTTCAAGAGAGCCAGAAGAGGGTTCAGAAGGGGTTCCCTTTTTAAGGGTCCCCTTATCCTACCTAGGCAAGCCGAAACCCTCAACCCTCCATGTTTGGGGTAGGATTCAGGCTTCGAGCTCTTTAATTGGGGCATATTCCTTACATGACATTAAGGTTTTGTTTAGGGCTTAGGGTCCCTCATGCAATTATGGGAATATTCCTTTTGGATTAGGACAAGGAAACAAGAGATGTTGCAAAAGACAGTTGAGCTCAATAAAACGGCAAACACAAAAACACACGCTAAGTTGATGCTTTTACGCCAAGAGGAAGCTACTACGTGTTTTAGCTTTACGCTTTACACAGCAGAAGCTTTCAACTACACTTTAACGCACACAGGCAATGTGCATTAAGCCTCCAAAATTACCTCATTGAGACGGCAGAAAACGGAAGACAACCAAAACAGATTCTGTGCGTTTGCACGTAGACTTAGGTTGTAGGATTTAGGGCTTCAATTGGCACTGTGGCTACTTCTCCAGGCCCTTGTTGTTAGAACTTCGAAAAGATCGTCATCTTCAGCGAAAATGGGGGGTTTAGGGTTCAGAGACTCCACGCTCCCGTTATTTGACCACATCCGTTTAGGGTTTTAGGGTTTAGGGTTTAGGGTTATTAGACCATACCCCCTAAGTTGCAATAGGGAGCCGAATATGCTCTGAGGAATGTCGTTGCCTTGAATTCAGGGCTGTTAGGGTCTTTGGGGAATCTCCTGGCAAGCTCATCCGAGAGGCAAGGCCTGTGTGGGGCGGTTGTCGTCCTCCGTGAAACGGCTCTTGAAGGCCTTGATCGTCTCTGGGGTGACACCGGCTGTGTTCTTGCTCACGTACCAATGCACCCCTTCCGCACAAGGGGGAGTGGTGAGTGAGCCAACGTAGTGGTAGAAGTCCTTGAACCTAGGCAGCCCCAGTGTCTGGATGTTCTTTAAGGCTTAGGGTTTAGGGCGTAGGGGGTAGGGTATTCCAATATGGAGGACAACCAGCCGTAACACGACTGCTGGGCCCACCAGGGAGCTGGTCCTGGAACACGTTGAGGTCCACGTCGCCCACGTCCGAAGCACTGCCATTTTCTGGGGCGTCCTCTTCCCAAAGATCCGATATCTTAATTGGGATTATTCCCCTACTTGCAGTACAGTTAGGGTTCAGGGTTCAGGGTTCAGGGTTCAGGGTTCAGGGTTTAGGGTTTAGGGTTTAGGGTTTAGGGTTTAGGGTTTAGGGTTTAGGGTTTAGGGTTTAGGGTTTCCTAAGCTCCCAAGCCCTAAACCCCCTTGTTGAGCTGAGGGCCTTGAAGAGAGCCTGGAGGAAGCTTGACTGCTTTGAGGGGGACTTCGACTCCTCGAGGATCACGCCTTGCTTGAAGGGTTGAGGTTGGGATGTTCCCCCTTATACTAACACTCCTTAATAGGGAGGGAAATGGGGGGGGGGGGGGGGGGTACTATAATAACCCTATTAAGGACTGTCAGTATACGGGTGAGCATCCCAAGTTTGCGGGGTTTGGGCTTTTGGCTTGGGGTTTTAGGGCTTGCGGTTGAGGGTTTCTTCTTCTTCTGGGCAACTTGAAGTTGCGGTTTCATCCCGACGACGACGACGACGACGACGACGACGACGACGAACACTACTACATATACAAACACCTACTCCTACTTACTCCGACTCCTCCTCCTGCTCCTCCTCCTACTCCTACTCCTACTGGTACTCCTAGTCTTAGTCCTACTGCTACTTCTGCATGTGGGAGCTAAAACTCAGCAAACTTCATGCTAGCTGAAACTCGGGATGCCGATGACAGCCAGGTCATTGGTGCCACTGGAACCGACCTTCTGATGCACGATGTGCATCTCGCCTGCCGAGAGCTTGCCATCCACCGTATGCTCGGCGGGGAAGTGGAAGTGGAACTGCTTGACCTGGTACTCACCGTCTGGCAACTTGAAAGACCCAAACCCACCGTCCACCTGCATCACGTGGCCATTGTTCTTGAGCTGCCGCGCAGGAATCGGATCGTACTTCACGAACTGCGCCAGGGTGCTGCCCGCGCCGCCTTTGGTGCCCGAGTTCAGGTCGATGGGTGACTGAGAGGTCTGCTGGCACATGGGAAACTCCGCGGACCAGTTCTTGCTTTCCTTGTGTGTCCAGGCCTGGGCGGATGATGCACCAAAGAGCAGCACTGCGAGGAGCATCGGCGCAAGAGCCGTCTGCAACGTGAAGGGCTGCTCAGCCTGCTCTTGCTCCTCTGCCTGGTAGGGCATCCCAAGCGTCTCACGGACTCGGGACTTCGCCTGGGTGGCCCGGGTCCCCGGATGCCCCAGCATGAAGCAAGGCACCGCCAGGCCAAGGCAAGCAAGGCAAGCCAGGCCCACCAAGCCCGAACGCCGAGAGGCTGCCGCGCGCATGTTCGCAAGGAATGCAACGAAACTAACGCAGCTCACCCTACCGGACACCTCTTTGATGCAGGCTCATGCAGCGATGCGGTTTGGGGGTCTTCAGGGACGCTCGCAGGAACAAAAAAATCTGGAGAAGGGGAGCCTCTTGCGAATCCTCGAGGGTTTATCCTGTCATCCGAAGTATGGGTTTAGGGTTTAGGGTTTAGGGTTTAGGGTTTAGGGTTTAGGGTTTAGGGTTTAGGGTTTAGGGTTTAGGGTTTAGGGTTTAGGGTTTAGGGTTTAGGGTTTAGGTTTCAGGGTTTAGGGTTTAGGGTTTAGGGTTGAGGGTTTAGGGTTTAGGGTTTAGGGTTTAGGGTTTAGGGTATCAAAGAGACAAATGCAGGAAGCAGGCACGTTGGATGCTGCTGCTCCTGCCCGGTTATCGCTACATGGGTGTGCAGCTTTTGTTGGCCCAGCACGCGCACCAGTACAAATACTGTGGGTTTGGGGTTTAGGGTTTAGGGTTTAGGGTTTAGGGTTCATCGAACTGCACAAGTGCCGCTAACCCTACACATTTCTATAAACAGCCCAAGTACTGTGCATGGTCATGAATGTACTGTCCACAGTAGGTACCGCTCATCTACAGAGGCGATTTTCGGGCTTGGAGTTCCAAACTGGTGGCTTTGCCCTAAACCCTAACCCTAAACCCTAAACCCTAAACCCCAAACCCTAAACCCTAAACGCTAAACTCCGACTGTCTCTTTGCTGGAGTCAGCCTCCTCGTTGACAAGAGGGCCAGGACCTGAGCAGCAGCAACTCGGCTTTTAGGATTTTAAGGGTTTGGGGTTTATAGGGTTTGGGGTTTGGGGTTTAGGGTTTAGGGCCTAGGGTTTAGGGTTTAGGGTTTAGGGTTTAGGGCTTAGGGTTTAGGGTTTAGCGTTTGCGGTGCGTGGGAGTGCCGACTTGGAGCAGTGATGGTGTTGTCACCAGGAATGCCTTCATGACTTGTTGCCAGTCGAGCTCGCGCCTATGCCCACACCTCTGGTGGGAGGTCCAACTTCGCGGTTCAGGCTTCAGGGTTTAGGGTTTAGGGATTAGGGTTTAGGGTTTAAGGTTTAGGATGTCGTCTCCGGTTGTAACATCACCGCACTGCAATGCATATTCTTGTCCGCGGAGCGCATCGAGGGCATCGGGCATCCCATCTTTAGAAATGTTATTTTTTGTACAGCTGTCAGATGGATCCTTGATACTGGGGTTAAAGCCCCGCGATTGGAACAACTGACTCAACTGACAGAACATGGCAGAACATTGAGTTCTTTTCGCGGCCTGATTGACCGCTTGAAGAAAAGGGAATCATCTGACTCAGTTGGCTCAGTCGGCTTTCTTGAGCTTCAGTGCCTCTGCACCCTTGTCGAGAGCAACGCCCGTGACGATGCCCACGGCGAAGTCTACCTGGTAGCAGAGGACGGCTGTGATGACAAGGATGCCCAGGCGGATCTTCGCATCGTCTTCCTTGCCCTCAAAGGCATTCTTGATTGCATCGAAGGTCGGGACAAACTGGATGGTGTCCAAGGATACCTGAACCATGATGCCAGCCAGAGCCGGCACGCTGATCTGGCCAACGAAGGGTGCAAGGACCAGGGCGAAGATCACCATGGAAGCAGCATAGGAGCCAATGGACCATTGGCCGCGTCCGCCGGAGTTCAGGTTCAGAACCGTCTGTGGCACGAGGCCGGCGCCGCCAAAGCCCCCCAGCAGAACGGAGGCACCGTTGCCTGCGGCCAGGGACAGGACGGTGGACGTGGGCACGTCCACCTGCAAAGGAGCCTCGGGGTCCCCACCCTGCATCACCAGCTCTCCATTCTCGTCGTAGAAGAACCTGCAGACAACAACGCAAGACGACTCTCACCACTACATATACACATACATACATATATATATATGTATATGTATATATATATATACATATATATATATATGTATATAGATATAGAACTTACCTAATTGTCCTACTTCTCGTGCGGCCGAGAGGCGTGCAGAGGTCCTCGCACTTGCGGTCGTCCACCACGCGAGCGGCGAGGAGAGTCTCGATGAGGGAGATGAAGGCGATGGAGATGGCACAAGGCAGCGCCAGCTGGACGTCGTCGATGGAAGGCATCTGCGGCAGCTGGAACTGGGGAAGTGCCGCCAAGCCTCCGGCGAAGGCAGTGGGGTCCTTGGCCTTCATGGCGAGAGTGGGGACGTCGAAGTTGAAGCCGATGCCAACGGCGGTGGCGACGGCGAGGCCAACGAGCGAGGAGGGGATGGGCGCCGAGGGCAAGAACTGGGTCAGCGCAGCGCAGATGGCGGCCAGGCCGAATCCCATGGGCGTTGAGAGGGCCCCGAACTGTGACACCAGCAAAGCCAAGCCCAGAGCATTCAGAAAGCCTGCCAGCACTTCCTTGGAAACAAGGTCCAGCGTGCGGGCAAAGCCGACCAAGCCTGCCACCAACTCGATGAGGGCGGCCAGCAGCACCACCAGAGGCACCAAGCCAAGACCATTGGTGGCCACAAAGGCACCCAGAGGGACGACCACCACGGCTGCGGAGCCCGCCACAACTCCGGGGCGCATGCCGAAGAGGCTTGCAAAGCCCAGGGCCACGGAGGACCAAAGGCCGACAAGCGGCCCTGTGCCGACGATCGCGCTGCAGGCGATGGCCTTGGAAAGCAGCGAGAAGGCCACGCTGATGCCCGCCAGGATCTCTTCAACGATGGAGCTCTCCCCCGTCACCGGCTCCGCATTCGCGTCCACCCCCGCCGCCCGCTCCACGGAGCGGGGGGGTGCGCTGCGCGCGGGGCTGGGTTCTTTGGGGGGGGGACCGCCCGGGCCCGCCAGGAAGCCCACCTCGGAGTGGTCGGAGTTGCGGGACCACAGGGCGGCGCAGGCCAGTGCGAGGAGCAGCGCGCGGCGGACGTTGCTGTGAGGAGCCATCGCTTGGAGCAGTCTCACAATCTACCTAGCACAAGCGTTGTCCAGCAATTCTGCCGACATTCACTGTTGCCACTCGAGCTCGCGCCTGTGCCCACAACTCTGGAGGCAGGTCCAACTTCGAAAGCTGAACGAGTCTACGTGCCGTCTCGGGTTGTATAACCACCGCACTGCAATGAATATTTTTGTCCGGAGAGCGCATCGGGCACTTCATCTTGAAAAGCTATTGTACAGCTACCGACGAATCCTTCATACTGCTGGGGTTAAAGCCCCGCGATTGGAACAACTGACTCAACTGACAGAACATGGCAGAACATTGAGTTCTTTTCGCGGCCTGATTGACCGCTTGAAGAAAAGGGAATCATCTGACTCAGTTGGCTCAGTCGGCTTTCTTGAGCTTCAGTGCCTCTGCACCCTTGTCGAGAGCAACGCCCGTGACGATGCCCACGGCGAAGTCTACCTGGTAGCAGAGGACGGCTGTGATGACAAGGATGCCCAGGCGGATCTTCGCATCGTCTTCCTTGCCCTCAAAGGCATTCTTGATTGCATCGAAGGTCGGGACAAACTGGATGGTGTCCAAGGATACCTGAACCATGATGCCAGCCAGAGCCGGCACGCTGATCTGGCCAACGAAGGGTGCAAGGACCAGGGCGAAGATCACCATGGAAGCAGCATAGGAGCCAATGGACCACTGGCCGCGTCCGCCGGAGTTCAGGTTCAGAACCGTCTGTGGCACGAGGCCGGCGCCGCCAAAGCCCCCCAGCAGAACGGAGGCACCGTTGCCTGCGGCCAGGGACAGGACGGTGGACGTGGGCACGTCCACCTGCAAAGGAGCCTCGGGGTCCCCACCCTGCATCACCAGCTCTCCATTCTCGTCGTAGAAGAACCTGCAGACAACAACGCAAGACGACTCTCAGCACTACATATACATATATATATATATATATATATACATATATATGTATATATGTATATAGATATGGAACTTACCTAATTGCCTACTTCTCGTGCGGCCGAGAGGCGTGCAGAGGTCCTCGCACTTGCGGTCGTCCACCACGCGAGCGGCGAGGAGAGTCTCGATGAGGGAGATGAAGGCGATGGAGATGGCACAAGGCAGCGCCAGCTGGACGTCGTCGATGGAAGGCATCTGCGGCAGCTGGAACTGGGGAAGTGCTGCCAAGCCGCCGGCGAAGGCAGTGGGGTCCTTGGCCTTCATGGCGAGAGTGGGGACGTCGAAGTTGAAGCCGATGCCAACGGCGGTGGCGACGGCGAGGCCAACGAGCGAGGAGGGGATGGGCGCCGAGGGCAAGAACTGGGTCAGCGCAGCGCAGATGGCGGCCAGGCCGAATCCCATGGGCGTTGAGAGGGCCCCGAACTGTGACACCAGCAAAGCCAAGCCCAGAGCATTCAGAAAGCCTGCCAGCACTTCCTTGGAAACAAGGTCCAGCGTGCGGGCAAAGCCGACCAAGCCTGCCACCAACTCGATGAGGGCGGCCAGCAGCACCACCAGAGGCACCAAGCCAAGACCATTGGTGGCCACAAAGGCACCCAGAGGGACGACCACCACGGCTGCGGAGCCCGCCACAACTCCGGGGCGCATGCCGAAGAGGCTTGCAAAGCCCAGGGCCACGGAGGACCAAAGGCCGACAAGCGGCCCTGTGCCGACGATCGCGCTGCAGGCGATGGCCTTGGAAAGCAGCGAGAAGGCCACGCTGATGCCCGCCAGGATCTCTTCAACGATGGAGCTCTCCCCCGTCACCGGCTCCGCATTCGCGTCCACCCCCGCCGCCCGCTCCACGGAGCGGGGGGGTGCGCTGCGCGCGGGGCTGGGTTCTTTGGGGGGGGGACC